CCCAGCACACACACAAATCAGAGTCCTTCTGACAGTTTAAGGAAAAAAAGATCAGGAGCAGAATTCAACGTGTCTGAGTTTGTCCTCCACTCACCATCTGTCTGGACAGAGGACACGGTTTGGACACCTTTGGAGAAACGTTGTCCACAGATGTTTGACCTCCGTCCTGTCAGGGACAGACACAGACACAGACATCAGGTCAAAGCTGTAAAGTGTATATATATAAATAGTGAAATAAAAATGACAGATTTTTATTGTCATTATTTTATCTCTACATTTGTTTATTTATTTTCAACTTTAAAGGAGGAGCCTCAGAGGAGCTGCCTCTGGACTTCATCCTGAGTCTCTTACACATTAACCTGGACATCCTGGTTATGAGTTAGTTATCCTGGGGGGGGGCAGGGGGGGGTCATAAAAGTCCCGAGACTCTGCTCTGTTCTATAAATCTATAAAAGTGAATGTGGACTGACGTCTACATCAGTTCCGCGTTCTCTGTACGGTTCTGTGCCTGTTCTTCTTCTGTTGTGCTGTGACCTGAGACACGGCGAGCCGAGGGTGCGGTCTGTAACCGGACACAGCCGCGGTGACGCAGGAGCCTCAGGGAACGACGATGTTTTCACGAAAACCAAGGAACGCCGTGACCCGTGGTTTCACATGAACTGACTGAAGTCCAAGACTGGGGGCATACGGGTCAGAACCTGGAACCTGGAACCGCTGTACCGCTCTGTGTTCAGGTTAGAGCCGGTAAATATTAACTAGCTTCATAAACAGGTCAACTATAAACCGAGGATTCAACATTCATGTCTTTGCTCTGTGGTCAGAGTCTGGATCTGCTGGATCAACATTTCTGCTCTGGACTTGGAGCCTTCTAATCCCAGTGTTAACACAGAGACGTTCTGAAGTTCTTACCTCGCCCAGCAGGTCTTTGTTGGTCAGAACACAGTTCTCATCAGGGAAGGTCTCACAGAGGTGGTTGAACGTGGCCATGCTCTCTCTGCCAGAACAACACGGACGACACCATAAAAAGGCGGACCAAAACCTCCACCTCTGAAGGGGCTTCGAGCCCAAACCCACCTGTTGACAGCAGCCCAGGTTCTCCTCAGTCTGTAGACGGCGTTGGACTGAAGGGCCGACAGGATGGCCTTCAGGGAGGAGAAGTTCTTCAGCTGACGACAGTCCTGCACAGGAACACACGTGTGAGAGAGAGAGACACGACAAACAGAGAGTTTACTCTCAGGTTCTACCGACCTGTGCCACTCCGATCCACTTCTCAATGATCCGGGCCCTGTGTGCTGGAGTAGATGGGGGTCCGGAGGAGGAGGAGGAGGAGGGGTTGGGGTCGGGGTCCGAGGACTGGCACAGCAGGGACATGATGACCTGGTTGGTGATGGCGTTGAACTGTGTGATGGTGGCCCTGATGGTGGGAGACATGTTCTCCTTCTTGACTCTCTGAGACCACACGCAGCCCAGACACTGGTACGGGACCACCCTGACGAACAGAGCCTGGACCAGGTGAAGACCAACCATCAGACTGAGGTCTGTACCGGGACAAAACTGTCAAAGTGTTTGGTTTACGTACGGAGTCCACGCTGGTCAGCTGAGCGGCGATGTCTGCGGCGGAGAAGTCCAGGACACCGACCACGTCCTCGCCTCCTGACCCTCCATCAGCAGAACCCTCTGGTCGACCCACGTCCTCCGGAACGTCACACAGGATTGGCTGAGCTCCTGACCAGACACACAGGTGGAACCAGTCGAGGTTAGCATCGTCACGGGCCTAAGTGTGAGCCACAGTTTGAGCCACACCGGTGGAACATCACCTTCTCGTTGGAACCGCTGGAGCAGCCCCTCGGCCTGACCGGCCAATGAGCAGAAGTTGGGCTGGCTGCGCATGTGGTCGTGCACAGCAGAGCTGATCCTCAGGTGGTCCAGCAGCAGCCTGAGGGGCCGGTGCAGGGGGGGGTCCCTGAAGTCCTCACTGTAGTCGTCCAACCACAGCTGGACGAAGGCCAACATGGAGCTGCCATCACAGAAGACACGTCTTTACCGTACTGTACCGTACTGTACCGTACTGTACCGTACCGTACTTCTAACTGTAAGAAAACACACTCACCCTCTGTAGGAGTCAGTGTTGTCCAGGTCAGAGGCTCCGTCGTCTCTGTGAAAAAGAGACAAGACTTTAATAAAACGACACAGATCGATCGTCACTTCACACTTGACCAACTTTTCTCCCTTCACTATAATCATGGTCTTACTTTTCGTGGCCTGCAGCTGCTCTGATCCTGACTCTGAGTCACTCTCAGCTTCAGGATAATAATCACCTGCTCTGCATCTATTATTACAGGCAAACTGGGTGGAGTGTTTACTCAGAAAACAAAGTAAGAAAAGACTCTGACGCAAAAACGCTGACTCTGCACGAGGAAGAGTCTGAGTCATCGAAGAACAGAGCGGTTGGTCCCAGGGGTTTAGGTCTGAATGGTCTACAGGGGGGGGGGCACTGACGTTCAACTCACCTCTGAAACAGCAGCTCGATGAGTTTGGACGGACCGGTGAATGTTCTGTATGTGGACAGGAAGATCCTGCTGTAGTCCTGCTCCTGGTAGGTCGGGTCCAGGAGGTGGTTGACCAGCAGCTCCAGGGTGGCGGCCTTCAGACGCCTCACCTTGCAGGTACGGTACTGGACAAAAGTGCAGGATGCATCCTTGTCTCCGGGGGGGGCGGCAGCAGCGGCCGGTTCTCGACGCAGCGTGACCCTGTACACCGCACCGTCCTCAACCTCCTCCCCCCACTCCTGCACTGGGTTCTGAGGACGGAGAAGTTTGTTGAGGTGAATTGAAAATGGTCTACATGTATATATGTCTGTATATATGTCTGTACATATGTCTGTACATGTGTGACCCTTGAAGCCAGTCAGACCACCTGTCCTTCATTAATGGACCACCCACCCACATGTCCACCTCAGGGAGCCATGAGGAGTTAAAGACACAACAAACCACGCAAACAAGTGACACAACTCCACTGAGACGCTCACTGATCCTCCGTGAACCACAGCCACTACTTAATATTTACACACACTCCCGACCGCCATCACCACCTGAGACTCGACACCTGCACTCTTTTCTGAGAAATTCATTCCAAAAGCCTTTAATCCTTTGTGGACAAAATAAGGAATAATCAAATGTCCTGAGGCAGAACGTCAACAATCAGCAGAAACGTCAACAATCAGCAGAAACGCCAGCGTCCAAATCGACATCACCATTTTAGTCCAAGGTGTCGTTTAATCCAACATTTAAAACTCCTTTGATCCGACTGAGTTACAGCACCAGCGGTGATGACAGTCAGAGTCACAGTCTGCTGTGTTTGAGGACAAGATTATGGACGGACGCATGAGAGAAGACGGCAGCCGTTAGAGGACGCACACACACACACACACACGATCAGTGACGGGATCTGGAAGATTCCAAACCAAGAAGAGCTAAAACTGAAGTTAACATTTTGTTGGACTTCACACAGAAACAGCAGCAGTCGTTTCCTGACGACGACTGAAATCCTACGATCGACAAACACTCGTCCAGTCCACGACCCCAGTGTTGACCTTTGACAACCACTAGAGCTCCTCGAGTGTAAACTCAAGTCGCTGTGACTCAGTCTGGAGTCAAGTTCATATTTAAAGGGACATTTCTGTTAATGTTCCAGTTTTAATGGAGGTTCAGTGAAAACAGCTTCAGGTGAAAGAAGGTTTACAGGTCGGATTAAAGGGGTCGGATTAAAGGGGTCGGATTAAAGGGGATTATTTCATCACATAAAAGGAGCAAACACGGGGAATTAAAAAGTTAAACTTTGAATGTCAGAGTAAAAGCACCATTTGTTCTGTTTGTGACGTCAGAGGAGGTCACTCTTGGTCTCACTCACCATGGTCAGTTCCCATTTTCCCATCTCTGCTCTGCTACATCTGGTCCGGACCGACGGTCGGAGAAAGTCCACTTCCACTCAGACCAGGACTCAGTTTAGGGCTGCATTTCTTCAGAGGAGTGTGCGTGTTTTTAAGTTCTCTGGTTCACGACTACATCCACGCGCGTGTTTTACTAAAAAAAAGACGATTTTTTTTTAGCGCAGACTAGCGGCTACATCTCACTGCAGTTTAACGAAATAAAAACACGGCGAGTTTTCCTGCGTGAATCTAAAAAGACGAGTTTTCCTGCGTGGACGCACCGATACCGCGGACCGCTGCCGTGTTTCCTCCCGCCGTGGGTGTGAGTGTGTCGACCGTGGACTGTCAGCCTGAAACTGAGGGCTTTGAACAGGGAGGCGACTTTCAGCTGGAGGTGATGAATGTGGGCGGGGTTTGTGTGTGTGTGTGTGTGTGTGTGTGTGCTTGGGAGTGAAAGATCAAATATACAAGTTAGATAAGACAAGGTTGGGTTCTGAGTAATAAACAAAAGTGGCGGGTGGTCAACGGGGGGCGCTATTTCTTCATTTATTTCAACTTTATTTCTGTATTTTTTCCAAGGGGAAACTGGTAATTAATTATTTTTATTTATAAACATGTGTGAAACAAATACGCCACACACACATTCATGAATTAATCCTCTCTGGGGGCCTGTCAATCAGCTGTCAATCATAATTGTTTTGATTTTGTCTCCAGAAACAGAGAAAAATCATCAAGAAGTTTAGAAATAAAAACGTCCTCACAATAACACAGAACCAGCACACACACACACACACACACACACACACACACACGGTGTGTAAAAGTCTGGCTCAGCTGATTTCTGACTCCTTCCACCTCCAGGTGTTTGTTGACAGAAACTACAGCATATTTTAGAAAAAAAACTCTCACTGTTTCAGCGCCACCTAGAGGTCATTTCCTACCTATAACCTGTAAAGGTTTGTAGTTTCTGTATGTCAGGATTTTAGGGGGCGCTCTTTATGTTTTTGTTCCTTGTTGACTTGAACCTGGTTTTAGGACTTGATCAGAGTCCAGGTCCAGGTCCAGGTCCAGGTCAGCAGATCGTCGTCTGACTGAGACTGAAGTGACGACGTCAGCAGAAAAACCAGGCTGATGTTGGTGAGCTATGCTATGAAAGACATGTTNGGGGGGGGGCATGTTTTTGTCCTCTTTGGTTTTTGTTGGAGAAGAATTCAAGTTTTAAATGATGTAATAAAGTCATCACAGGCTCCGCCCACTTCTTCAGCCACAGTTTTGTTGTGGATTCGTTCTTCAGTCCATGTTTGAAATATACTGTGGAAAAAACAAACCAGGTGATCCTCCCTCCCTCCCTCCCTCCCTCCCTCCCCCCAGGAGCCAGGAGTCTACAGAAAGTACCAGAGAGTTCCTGGGCTGTGGTACAGTTCATGGTTCCAAAAGTACCAGGAGAACCCGCAGGAACTTTTTCACCACATTTATGTGGATGTTTCAGTTTGGACTGGCGTGACAAAAGCTCAGGCTACATACCAGAGTATATCACATGACATGGTGCAGGTATGTCACTGGTCCACTCGCTGGTCCAGCTCTGACTCCACACCAGCAGATCTGACTTCACGCAGCATCGTTTGGTCATGACTGTTCTCTGCTGTCGTCAGGGAGAAGAATCTGAAGTGAAGTCTGAGCAGAACCACAGATAAGAACGCTGTCTTAACCTGGGGGGGGGGGGGGGGGGGAAAAGGAGGAGGAGCAGCAGCAGGGGGGGGGGCGGG